TATTATTCCTAGGATTGTAAATCGAATTCAGAATCTGTTTTCTGTTTTGTCTGTTTGTCTGTGCGTTTGCGCGCTAATCTCAGAAACTGCTTAACCGATTTGGTTGCAATATAGTAATACGATATATAATTGTAGTACATGAGGGCGGAACCGCGGGAGAAAAGCTAGTTAAGGAATAAAATTTCACGTTGCACGGAAAGGAGTTCTCTTATATTTAATTTGAGCTCTAGCGCAACAACTATTTGCCGTACGGTACAATCAAGTATGCACCGTTAACTAATTACTACGTCATGCTTCAAACATGAGAATATTGAGCTTTGCTAATTTCGTTGTATACTATTTATAAATGAATGGTATCGAAACTGAAGGGCTTACTAATACCATTCATTTATAATACCATAATATGGCCGTTACAAAGAATTCTCCGATTTGTTATACTCTACGTGACGGTCACGGTGTTTGTAATTGAACTCCTCCGAAACGCCTCGACCGATTTTCGTGAAATTTTGTGTGCATATCGGCCAGGGTAATATTTTTCATCCCCCTAAATGTTAAGGGTGGTCCACCCCAAATATTTTTTTTTCTACTCTACAAATTCCTTAGAAATACTTTATACGGCAAGACAACGTTTGCCGGGTCAATTAGTATAACAATGATAAACAGTTTTTTTTTATGTGAGAAAGTAGCAAACGAGCTGGCGGTTCACTTGATGTTAAGTGACTACCGCCTACACATGGACATTTGCAACACCCGTAGGGTTGCAGAGGCGTTGCCACTTTTTAATAAAGTGGGCCCCGGCTACCTCACTCACTTCTACTTCACGCCGGCCTTCTGTGAGATCGTGGTACTAACTTACCTGACCTGGATATCTAAGATATAGTCGACCCATGCCTATCATATATTTTAGCGTGGGCTAAAAATATCGATATTTTTCCATACAATTATCGATATATATCGCCGATATTTTTTATCGCCATATATCGTAATTCGATATTGATTTTAGACTATCTAATTCGTGTCAATTTCGATATATTTTTAACGCCACTCTGGTTTTGTGTTTAACGTTACTAGATACTATTTGCATACTCCTAGCGCATCGTTAACTTGAAAAAATCTTTTGAACTATGTTCTTCATGTCTATTCTTTTCTACGAATATTGAATGGTTTGCAAATATGTATGAATAATCATGCGAAAACTGACGATATATCGATATTTCTCAGTCGTTAATTATCGATACTTTGTCACAATGTTGACTGACTATATTTAGTATTATCGATATATTTTTTTACTGGCCCATCCAATAAAGACAGAGAAGACTTATGGGGCTTATCAATATGGGCAATTGATCTTATAATCTATGACATTGCTTGCATATTAGCCCAAATATTTAATACATGTTTAGACAGTAGCAAATTCCCAAAGTTAATGAAATATAGTAAAGTTGTGCCAGTATATAAATCGGGTTCGAGAGATGATGCCTCTAATTACCGTCCTATCTCTATGTTGCCGGCCTTAAGCAAAGTGTTTGAGAAAATAATGCTAGATCAAATGATAGTACATTTTAACAAATATAAAATTTTAAACCAGCACCAATTTGGATTTACTAAAGGTAGATCTACAACTGATGCAGGGATAGAATTAGTTTCACATATCCTGCAGTCCTGGGAAAGCTTTCATGACACCATTGGTGTGTTCTGTGACATTCCAAGGCATTTGACTGTGTAGATCATACAATTCTAATCAGAAAATTGGAATATTATGGTATTCGCAATTGTGCACTTGACTTTGTTTCCTCATATCTTACTGACAGGGAACAAAAAGTAATCATAAATGGTATATTGTCAACGGGGTCAAAAGTAAAAATGGGCGTTCCTCAAGGATCGATCCTGGGCCCTTTTCTGTTTTTAGTTTATATTAATGATTTGCCATATATAGTGGAAAAAAGGTCTCAAATTGTTTTGTTTGCGGATGACACTTCATTATTGTTTAAGGTTAAAAGGAATGATGATGCACTGGAACAACCAAATGAAATACTAGATGTTGTGTCTGGCTGGTTTGCTACCAATAACTTACTTTTGAACTCCAATAAAACAAAATGTATTAGATTTACTCTTTCAAAGTTGTGTCACCAATCAGGAATCTCTATTGATGAGAAAATCCTACCCCTTGAGGATTCAACAGCATTTCTTGGAATAAGCGTTGACTCCAAGTTGCAATGGGGATTACATGTAGATAAGTTAGCTAAGAAATTGAGCGCTGCCGTCTTTGCCATACGCAAAATCAGGCAGCTAACTAACGAGGAAACTGCAAAATTAGTTTATTATGCTTATTTTCACAGCATAATGTCCTATGGTGTCTTACTTTGGGGTTCTGCATCCGGTCTAGACACAATATTTGTATTACAAAAGCAGGCTATACGGGCCGTCTATGGCTTGGGTCCACGTGAGTCGCTACGACATACATTTAAGCAAATAAACGTTTTGACGCTCCCGTCGCTTTACATACTTGAGAACATTATGTATGTACGTAATGATATCCACCTATTTACGAAAAAACAATCCACATCGCGTCGGGGCCGTGGTGACACTCTGGAAGTACCGAGGTTTAGATTGGCTAAAACCAGAAAGTCGTTTCTTGGAAGATGCATCAACTTTTACAATAAAATAGGTGACATCCACAAACAACTAAGTATAAACAATTTCAAAATTTGTAAAAGCTACCTTGATGGCAAGGGCCTACTATAATATCCAAGAATACATAGAGGACAAGGATGTTTGGAAATGACTCTTGCTCTGCACTTGCAAGACCCCTGGCTGCTGCTGATTTTATACCCAAATAAGTGTGTATAATTGCATTAAAAAAAATATATATATAACAAAAAGAACAAGACCGCAGAGTTTCTTGCCGGTTCTTCTTTGTGCAGGTCTAGTTTAGTGAACCGGTGGTAGATTTTTGTTGACGTTCAATAAGAGCTTAAGTTGGGCCTATATTGAATAAATATACTTTGACTTTGACTTTGACGTTGAAAAAGATCGTTTAGTATAAAGATGAATGTATAAATACTGCGAAGAAAAACTGTTTATTATAAGAATACCAAACCAAGAATTGAATTTTACATATTTCTATGTCTATGAAAATGCCGATTTTGATCCAATATATCGATATAAAAATTTTATATTGAAATCGTATCAAAAACAGTATTTTTATTCATATTTAGTTCAGCTGAATATATATTAACTGATTCAAAGCCGTAAAAGATGCCGTAAAGAAAGCCGAAAAATGACCGGAAAAAAAACTGTTGTCTATGAGTCTATGATTAGTATTGTCACGGATGTAGTACAATTTCATGCTTCGTACGCTATACTATCCATGTCTAAGGTACAACATGGTATAAAAGTGTAAAAAATCATTTTAAATTGTCGTTCAGCATTTTCAAAACAACGTTTTAAACAATTCTTTACGTTTTTTTTATAAAGTTTTTGTATTACTTATTTTTAGATTCGATTCAGGGCTAAAGAAACTGATTTATCTTACTAAATATTTTTGTTTTTCTTTTCCAGGAAAGAATTTTTCATTACAATTAATAAATAATTAATAATTTATTAAAATATCTCATTCATTAAAATAATGTGAATTTGGACTATAAATTACTATTACTTATTATTGAATCAGATAATTTTTCGTTAATTTGACCGATATATCGATTTTTTATCGATATATCGAGGACGATATTGATATTTTTATAAATATCGATATATCGATACATTTCTCGACTTTCGGCATCCCTAACCTTAAAACATTTGCGTTAGCATCTCTACCAAATCTGTGCATTTGCCGATGTACCTGTCAAAGTAATGTTAACAGCAAAATGCATTACAAAATAAATCTGTTTTCTGTAGAACTTATGCCATAGTTTTATATATTATAATCTTTTTGTATATTATTTTTTACCGTTTTCTTATGTATACATCGAGATTGTACTCTACATTATATTTATCATCATTTTGAAAACATTAATTGATTTTACATTAAATAGTTATGAAAATAGCAATATTAATGTATAATTGATTTATATTATCATTCAGGCTAGGTCTTTTATGTATTTGATACTATTTGCAAAAATTTTACAAATTAAAACAGATTCGACAGTTTAATGCTATATCGATAACCTTTGGAAATATTTGGCTATTATTTTGTGACTTTGCATTATTTTAGTAGATGAAGCCGTGTTACTGTATCGGTTTAAATTATTTTATCTTTATGTAATCACATCTAAATCGATTCCCTATTACATGCGGGGAGCTTAGTTAACCAAAACCAATAAAAGATATCAATAAACATAACTTAATGAGACGTCTTATAACATGTTGCGTTAACCGTTTTATGAAACATGTCTTTTATTAAATATTGCACCCAATTTGTTAAATCCGTTTAGTTCTAAATGCAAAATAAATGTATCGCAAATACAAGCTATTTTTTTAGACAAAAAGATATATAAATTAGACGTATAAAAAAATTGCAATTATTTTATAAATCATGACAATGCATCTAAATAGTTTGCTATTTTTTTATTCATATTTTCTTTTTCTTGATATTTATTTATTTTCTCATTTCAGGTTGGGTTTATAAATAAAAATAAAAATATACATATATATTGTCTTTATTGAAACATTGTTAGTAATAAAAGTGATCGTTGTAATTGATATAAAGTCTATCTTCGTAGACAGATTAGAAAACAAAAACGAAAACGATTTTTGACGTTTAATCGATATTGAAGTACATACTACCTATCACAATAGAATGACAATACAATGGCTTAATTATCTTGTTACCAGGCCATAAAATCTTTATAAAAACTTAAAAAGAAAGACTATGGAAGCAAGTTTTTTTGTCCTTGTCACTTTATGACTCTAGCTCTGAAACTCTGAATATTGAATAATCATACTCACTCACATTCACTCTGTCACTCACTTCAAGTAATCACTTCACAAAATTTTAGTTGTCAGTACTACAATTTATGGGATCTACTACTACTAAAGTTTTTAGAAACACAACAATGGCTAATTCAGCAGAAATTAAACAGTTTATCAAAGATGCTATTGCTCAGGACAAAGTTGTTGTTTTTTCTAAGTCATATTGTCCATACTGTACTTTGGCTAAAAACGTAAGTATGCGCTTATTTCAACGTTATTTTTGTTATTGAAATAATATTGTGTAACATATTACATATATTTAATGTATATTTTTAAGTTTTTTAGTCAATATAGATAAATTATGTTTATCTTATCCTTATTTGTCTTGTGCTATAAAATGAATTTTTCTAATTTCAGGTATTTGAAAAAGTCAAACAGCCATTCAAAGTTTATGAATTGAACGAACGCGATGATGGTGATGCTATTCAAGCAAATTTAGCGGAATTAACTGGGTTTCGGACCGTAAGTACCCATTTCAACTTGAACTTGAAAGCCTAATAAGTTAAATCTTATGTCATCAGTGCAGTAATTAAAAAAAATAGTTTGATTATAGCATTTTTTTCTTTGATTTAAATTGTTCACAGCCATTAAAATTAATGCAGCTAGTGTACTGTTTGTCTCTTATTCTGGCTATGTATATAACAATAAAAATTGTATTCATACATATTTATTTTCCTGATTACCATTCATTAGTCATTATCTTAAAATTTTCTAGAAACCAGTTTTTGTTTGTTAAAAAAATGTCTGGATAAAAAACTTTTTAACCATCATATATTTATCTTATATAGGTATATGGCATATTCAAAAAAATCAATTCTTGTTTATTTCCAGGTTCCACAAGTCTTTATTAATGGAAACTGTGTGGGGGGCGGCTCTGATGTGAAAGCTCTATATGATTCAGGCAAATTAGAACCAATGTTGATTGGGTAAACATCAATTTATATAAAGAAAGTCATATTTGAATCTGTTAATAAAAATGAACATTAAAAAATTGAGTAAAGCAAATAACAAATTATTTGATTCTATTTCAGAAACGAAAAAATATTCCTATGATATTTATAATTGCAATATTGTTTGTTTTAAATTAATAAGTTCTGTGTTGTAGAATTGCATTTACAGACAAATTTTTAAAATATGTTTCTCGTAAACTGTTAAGTTTTATATTTATATTTTTATAAACAATAAAGATTTTTCACAAGATGAATTTTCCTTTTTTTTATTTAGTTATTTGCCTTTTTTTATTGTGGATAAGATGGGTGCCAAAATATAAGGCACTTTTTAAAGGTGTATATTATTAGATTAATTATAATTATTTAACCTTTTTACGGAACTTAATTTATCCGGAACACTTGCTTACAAGATTTTGTTTAGAATAGAAGTTTGTTTAGAATTTATTTAGAATTTTAAAAATAAGTTTTAAATAACAGTGTTACAATATATTTCCCAATTATTATGAATGTATGACTAACCATGTTTTCTAATTGTAAACATAGATATCATAATGCTAGTTATGCTGACATAAAACATAATGACTAATAATTTATTAATTAATATTCATTATAGCACAAAAGTCAAGGAGACATGAGTTTGTTTGTGTTTTCGGTGAGGTAAATGTGATGATGAGCTATTAATATTACTGTATTGCCCTAGTATTGAATCATCAAGTGGAAAATTATCTACAATTGAGTTCTTTCATCAGGTTGTTGCTTATATTTGATCGAATTTCAAGCACAATATGGAGTCATTAAAAAATAAAGATAACCGCCTTACTTTAATGAAACAGTTTTCCTACAATATTCAGTTGCTTAGTGAGCGTTTGATGTCATATATTCATTACAATGAGGTAGATTTTTATATATATAATTCTTCGGTGCGTGTATATGACACTGAACTCCTCCTAAACGGCTGGACCGATTTTAATGAAATTTTTTGTGTGTCTTGAAGTGGATTCGAGAATGGTTTAGATTCACAAACTTGTTCAAAAACTTTGAAATTTTCGGATTTAAAACGTATGTACAGTATAATGTCTGTCAGGTTGTCCGTTGTAATACTACCATTATATAATTTTTCATTTATTCTTTATGTACAATCAGTAGTCGGGACTTAGAAAAAGTTCATTTATATATACTGGATTGTTAGTTTATATTAGGTTAATACACTTTAATATACTTTATAAAATGTATGTATTTTTAATATTTCATTGATCATCTGTCGTACATTTATAGGCTAAAGGTAAGAAAACTATAAAGTAGTCAAAAAATTAAAGAAATACCATATAATTATATTTAAAAATTTTTTAACCATCCAAAAAAGATAAGTTACGTCTTTGCAATATCCAGGAGTGATACCTCTTCAAGATCCAGGAGTTTACAAGTTAGACTGTGAATGTGGTGACTCTTAAATAGGGCAAATAAAAAGAGATTTAAAAACCAGCTTAAAAAAATATAACCGATTTCAAATTTTGTATGTTTAAAAAGCCTTGCATGCAGTTTTTGACCACACAATAATTCTTTATAATAATTCTGTAAAATAATTCTTTATAAGAAACAGATCTCTTCCCAATCATTATATTAGATTTGACATTGAAATCAACACTGACCGAATGGTCTCACTCATTATCCTTCTCAGGATAATGAGTGAGTCCATTAATTTGAAATCCAATAATTAATTTTATTAAATGCAAGCATACAGTATGCTTGGATTTAATTAATACTGAACTTTATACCTACTTTTAATTCTTTTATTTAGAGTTAGCCTTGAGCCGTAGCGAGCGACAAAGCGCGTGAGATACAATTACAAATATTACACTAGTTAGAGGGGTACGGCAAACAATGCACAATATCAGATTTTCAAACAGATTTTATGAATAAGTTAAGCAATTTTGAATTTTAAAAGAATGGAAAAACCTCTGTTTTATTTAAATACGAATCATGGTATTAACGATGTCTTTAAATTTTGTTTAGCCTTGACCTGAAGTGCATTGATACTTAAGCAGTTAAGCACGTACGTAGTAAGGGATGCCAACTTAATTTTAACTGAATTTTCTTCCTAAATTAAGGAAGAAAAATTTTTAGGAGTTAAATTATATTCACATTAAAAAAAATATAACTACACAAATCAAAAAAGAAAAATATAATTTAATAATTCCGTGCTGCTTTGGTGGACGTCAGGCTAAGGCTTATGTGTCTTGTGTGTATATCTTAAATTTTTCAGCCCTATATTATAATATTGAATTTAATATTTCTTACACAAAATATAAAAATAAGTTCACTCATATTTTTTTATGAATTTAAGGTGGATAAGCGAATGTAAAATATCTAGATATTAAAATACATAGTTTCGAAATCAAATATCAGATTTGAAATCGAAATCTGATTCAGATACGGTTCTCAGAAAAAGCGATACTACCCATCTCTATACTGAACCGATTTAAATGAAATTTGGTACACAGATAATCTAGAGCCAGAGAAAGGACATAGACTATTTTTTAATTGGAAAAAGGGTTATAAAGGGTTCTTAAAGGAGACATTTATTTAAGGGCTTCAACGCGAGCGAAGCCGCGGGCGAAAAGCTAGTCAATAATATAGTACGCCATGCATTGCTCCCAATACAATAAAATCAGGACATAAGGCCTCTAGATTTTCGCAGTTTACCGCGTAGGTAGCAGTAATGGCTTAGGTTCTATCAGCATGAAAATGCTGCCACAGTTTTATGTCACGTTTTTAAAGAGAGTTAGATTTCACGGACTATAATCATATTCAAAATTACATTAAAATTTGTAGAAAAATGGACGAAAAGATTTTCGCAGATGTGGGAATCGAACCCGTGTCTTTCCGAATCACGCCCGACGATTTAACCACTAAGCTAAAAACAAAAAAGCTGATTGCCACACCGACGAAAGTTAAAGTATTTTTCCTATTTTTCGTATTTTTTAAGCAAAAGTAAAGTACTTTTCGTATTTTATAAGCAATGCTTGGAGCATCTATTGTGTCCTCGCACGCAAACAATTTCAAATACCGTTACTACGATAATTCGAACGAAAGATGAAGCATTTGCTATTGAAATGGATAATATAAAATTTAAATCGTAGTTAGACGTCAAAAAAAAATTTGGTTTGTGCAAACAAATGTCCCTATCAATGTCTGACTGGAGTTTGTCGTGGCGTGAGGCTTAGTCGTCACTTGGCCTCTCACGGAGAAGACAATAGAGACCCACACTGGGCCAGCCTGTGTTGCAAGACCGGTCAGAGAGGGCTGTTTCGAGTGGGCTCGTTGATTCCTTTCAGTATGCGTGCAGACAGGATGAGAGTGGTAAAGATGGAGCAACTCCTCTTGTCTTCTGTGACTCAGCGGGGCTGCACCGCAGCTTAATACATAATGCTAACAATTTACCAGTAAATGGTAATAAAACTAAATGTATTAAATTGTCAATACCCAATGTAAAACATTTGGGTGCTACCAATGTACTTATAAATGGGGAGTTAGACCTTGTGGATGCGACTGTTTCTCTTGGAATAACTCTTGATTCAAAGCTGCAATGAGGTTCCCATATATCTAAACTTGCTAATAGATTAAGTTCTGCAGTGTATGCTATAAGGAAAATAAAATGTTTAATTGATGTAAAAACAGCTACAATTGTTTAATTTTAGTTATTTCCATAGCATAATGTGAATGCATAGCATAATGTTATATGGTGTTTTGCTATGGCGGCATGCAGCCGATATAGAAACCTAATCTATAACCACCGCCCATTGACATTTGCAACACCGGTAGGTTTGCAGACGCATTGCCCCCTTTTTATAAAATGGACCCCGGTTACCTCACTCACCAGGTGAAACGCAGAAGGATTACTCGTCCACTTCACGCTGGTCCTCTGTGAGGTCGTGGTACCTCCCCGGATGAAACTGCCCTGATGATGTTCGTGATACAGCGAAGACTTGCGTGGCCCTACCACACTTAAAATACATAATGTAAATACTATGAACAATCAGAAGCTAGTAACTCTAGTTACTAGACTCCATAGAGTAAGTAATTCGTTCATGGTGCGGTGTATACGCTTTTACAACAAAATAAAGTATATGCGCAAAGCCTGCCTATTAACAGGTTTAAGAAATTTGTTCAAGAAAACCTCTATAAAAAGGGTTATTGTAATACATAAATGACAATAGCCTCTGGTAATTAGTTGATTGCTCCAAAGCTATTTCTAAAAGATAATACCTACGGAGTTTTTATCGCCTGTTTCTTCTCCGTCAGGAGAACCACATTACGAAACGATGATAGATAAATAAAATGACTATCGATAGATGAATTAATGTATGTTTCGTAAGTCGATGAATTTGATTTTTTTTGATTGTTAGGATCGGCTCTCCTGGCTTACATGTTCTCTAATGAGAAAGGAGTTGATCCCCGAGGAGGACTTGCTGCGACTTGCTCGTTCCTGTCTCCGTTATGTATGCGTATGCATTTCTCCCGCATGAAGAATGGTGTACTAAATATTTTATCTTTTTAAAAACATATTTCCGGAATAATTATAGACATTGTTTCTTTTAACTACGATAATAATATGTAAAAAAAAAAAGTATATTAATATAAATTCACGCTCTGAAGAATCAGAATCTGCCTGTTACATTTGTAGCAAAACGGTCAGAACATTGTCGATTATGTTATCAATATTTCACTATTTCAAACCTTCAAATATTTTTTTACGTCAATGCTTTCGAATGTTTTAATATTTTTTGCGATATAAACCATTAACTGAGCCTAAACTAACTCTATTGTATTGACCTCACCACGGTAAGGTGCAGAATGACATCGTACCGTCTAGCCGTCACATAAACTACATATTTAATAAGTTACACTGTTTTACTTATAACTTCAATTAATTGACCGTATTATTTGATTTTCGTTAAGCCATCTTTGAATGTTGGC